ATGGTAACAAGAAGAGTTAGAAATCACACCCAATTTGACTAATATCAAAGTTCATGGCCTCAAACACTATGCTACGTTGACACTATAAGATGCCTATATTACTAGTAGGGGAAAAAAGAATCACATATTAGTTATTTTCAGAAAACCTTGAGAATTTTTTCAAGGACAAGGAGCTCATCACAGGTTGGTAGGTGCAGTATGACTGCATGTAAATAAACAATCTTGAACATACCTCTGGTTCAACAAGTGCTTCCTTGTGTTTTCCTTGACATAAATGTGTTCCACCATTAATTCCAAAAGCATCATTGACATACTCATAGGTCCCAGGAATTTTTTCCAGGATATTTTTAGATAAGACAAACAAAATACTTTTTTTCCATTGTTAGAAAGTTATTTAAGTTCTTATGAATTAGTAGAATATCATAGGAAATAGCCTAGATACTCCAGTCCCTGATAATTTTAGTATAAGACAGATCAATAGTGCTAAATTTGTAAACCAACAAGCAATGGTTCAAATCCCAGGTGTATGCATTCATTGGAAATTAAATGAAATGGTTGACTCCAGAAATGGACCAGGAAAGACACATGATATGATCCTGATATTCTGTGATGCCACAAAGTATGGAAGTACTCAAGAAAATCATGGGAGTATGCCACAGGACACAGCAGTGGGACTGAAGTGACAGAGACTGGCCAGATATGGGGCAATTTGAACATCAAAGTAATTAGACACTAATGAATTATAAACAATTATAAACAACTTTTATAAGTTTGGAACCCACAAATTCATGTCATAAAAATAGATATATAAGCAAATAAACAAATAACATGTAAGATAAAGTGAGTTTCTTATTTCAGTAGAATAACAAGTATTAACAGGTAAAAACAGGATTGCTGAAGCTAGGAAAAATAATCACCAGTTTGATCATCATAGTAAATATTAGTTCATGAAAGAACCAAAATCAAATCAAAAAAGAAGGATTGACAAAGAGCATATATTTGCATGTCATGTTCTTAAAATCTCTCCCTACAGACAGCTTATTGGTAGCATGGGGAGAAAAAAATGAAGAAACCATACAGTGTAGAAATCAGACAACACCTTGATTGGGTAATTGAAATTAACATCACAAATGAGGGACAGATGGATATCATGTGCCACGGAATATGATTCTCTGAGAAGGATACAACTTCACTTATTTAGTTCCAGATGGCCATAACTAGAATGCAATCATGAGGCAACATGAGGCAAAACCCCAAATGAGAAACAAACATTCTATTTTTAAAAAGGGTACAGACATTGTTGAAAACTGTCAATGCTCAGTAATGACAAAGAAAGACTGAGGAATTAGTCCCCAGACTAAAGAACACTAACGTCGTGTGGCTACTGAATACAATATATGGTCCTGTAGACAAACTGAATTATGGATTAATTGGATTAAAAACATGATACCAATGCTGGATTTTCAGGAGTCAAAAACTGCTGTGGTTATGAAAAGAGAATGTCATTATTCTTTAGGAATACGGACAGGAATACCCAGAGATTAAACAGGCCAAGTCTCAAGCCTTGAACGTCTGCTCTCAAATTAATCAATGAAATAGTTTAATTTTATACAGCCCCAACTTAATGATAGTTTGACTCAGGATTTTTCAACTTTATGATGGTGCAAAAATAACATGAATTCAGTAGATACTGTACTTTGAATTTTGATTTTTCACCAAGCTAGTAGTATATAGTATGATATCCTCTCACCAAGCTGTCAGTGACAGCAAGCTAAAACTACCAGTCAGCCACACAGTAATGCTATTCAGTGTGATGTGGTGCTAAGCTATGATGTTCTTTCAAATTAGGTGTATTGCAAGATTTTTGATTTAGGATATTTTCAATTTATGATGGGTTAATCAAGATGTAACCCCTTGGACTGGGATTGAGGCTCAGTGGTACAGTGCTTGCTTCGCACTGGGTTCGATCCTCAGCACCACATAAAAATAAATGAAATAAAGGTATTGTGTCCATCTACAACTAAAAAACATTTTTTTAAAATGTAACCCCTTAAGAAAGTCAAGGAGTTTCTCCCCCCCCCCCGCCCCCGGCCGCCTCTCATGCTACATACTCAACACCCAGAGCAAATGATGAAACAAAGTGTTGATTAAATTAAAGAAAGAATACAGGGTGTTCATATTATCTCTGCAAACTTTTTAGCATAAACTTGAAGTTAATTGCCAAATGTTGAATAGAAAAAATGCAAAGAAATCATTGGAATAATTGAACTATTAGGAAGCTTATGTGTCCAGATGCTTCTAGGAAAAATGTTTTTGGTGAAAGTACAGGGAGTTGTTTGAAATAATAAATAGAATGACAATTTCAACTGTCTCCAATGATGTTTGTGATGTGGCTGAACACATGGCCTCATTTTTCTGTGGACTAGAAGTTCTGTAGCTATAATCCCATGAACAGTAATTTATTATTAAATTATGAAACTAGAGTTGACCCTGATCATGTAACCAGATATATCAAAATTACTGGTAAAAAATACACAAATTACACATGCACAATACTAGCTCTTGCTTTTAGTACTGACATGGAGGACAACTACACCTGTTTTTAACACTAAACCTTGTTTACATATTAAGAGCCATTTTGAGACAATTTTTTTTTCCCACGATAAAACAAAGGAAACAACATGTAAAACATTGAGATTTCTCAGGTAAAATATAAATAAATCAATGAAGTTACCAACTTTACTTTCAAATATGGTCATAACAGCTGATAAAAAGCTAATAGAATTATTATTATGTGTAACTTAAAGTTGAAAATCCACCATGCTGTAGATTTTTAATGTTAACAAATTATGATTTGAAATTATTGGAGCCATTTATAAAAATATCCTCCAAGTCTATCTATTCATTGGATAATAGTTAATATTTATGCTAATTTAACTCATTTGCTTAGGATGGCAGGATCAGAAAAACAAATCTATGTACAGTTTAATTTATAAACCAAAGCTGTCTTCTTTCAGCTTTATGATGTTATCCATTATCATTATTCTAATAATTTTACTAACATTCCTGCTATTTAATTAAACTAAAAAAGTATCCAAGCCTTTAAAAAGAAGAATATGCATACTAACAAGCACGAAAAGCAGGAGAGTTAGGTCCGAAATAGTAATCTTAAATTATATGAAGATGGAAGATTATGTGCTTCATTCTCATAAAAATTATATTGCCATATCAGATTTAAATCCCTGGAAAGATGATTAAGAATCAGCTGTACATTTGCATATCACATTATAACTATAAAAATACAGTTGTGCCTATTATATTATATTATTTGAGTCACCCAATAGCCAGGATACATAGTTGGTCAAAAGCTAAGTAATTACAGTCAAATAGGAGGAACAAGTTCAAGAGATCTATTGTATAGTATAGTGACTATAGCTAATGATGATATATTGAATACCTGAAAGACAGGGAAGCGTGGATATTAACTATTCTCACCATAAAAATAACTTCGTGAGGTAATGCATTTCTTAATTATTAGCTAGATTTTACCATTCTATAATGTATATGTACTTCACACTATACAGTGGTACTCATTAAGTGCGTATTAGTTTGTCAACTGGGAAAAAAAAGTCACAAATCATTATCATACAGCATTTGGAAAACAGGAAACAAGCTAAGGTCACTGAGGCTGAGATGTGCACAAGAACTGGCTGAATTGATGTATAAGAGTATCAGCTTAAAAGTGCATGTGTCTAACTGCTAACTCTGAGTTCATTTCACTTTTATCCCACAGAGAGTGCTGCCATGAATTCAATGCTCACATACCAGTGATTTTGCAGCAACTCTAATGTGAAGCATGGGCAGCCAAGAGCACATTCAAACTTCAGAAATATTATAAGGGCCATAATGCATATTATATAAGGGTATACTGCTGTTATATTGATTTTCTCTCACATTAATAGTAATACTAAGCATGTGATGTGGGTAAGTCTCATTAGATTCACTGCATAAATGAGGAAACTAAAAGACACTTAAGGATAAGTGATATTAAAGCATTAGCAGATAAAATAGATGTTCCAATTATGTTCTTTCTACACCCACATAAAATGTTCCTTTCTGATATTGTTAAAAGCAATTTCACTGCACAGCTTTGTGAGAGTTATTTCCATCAAAATAAAATAAAATTAAAATTAAATAAAATTTTATTGATCTGAAATGAGGTAGGATCCTATTTATTAAAAAAATACCACTCTCACATACAGGGGATGCTCAAAGCTATGTAGTTTGAACTTTTAAATTTTACCCAATTGTTAAAATCGAGGCTGTGAAAACAGACTTGTTTTGATGATGATTATCACTAACTTCCTAAAATTGACTTAGTCTCTTTGGGAGGGTGTGCACTGAGGCAGAAGCACCGGAAACCCATAACCATGTTCAGTCCTTCCTTTCTCCTACCTATGTGATTTATGTGCACAAGTTACTTAAACTCTGGGGTTTTTAGAACTCTCATCAGTTAAAATTTAATTCTAACTCCAAAATCCTTGATTCTGAACAGCAGTTTGAAATTAGACCCAGCAACCTCACAATTGTATAATTTCCTTCTCCCCTGATTACTTCAGCAGTGCATGCTGGCCTATTAACATGTGAATGCCGACTGAATAAATCCTCACACATTTAAATGAAGATTTTTCTCTTGTGATATTTCCATTTCAGCCTTTTGTCTATTGATTTGTGATTATCTAGTATACTAAAATGAAAATAACCTTGACTAGGAATCAAGAGATAGGGTAATTCAGGGCTCTGATAGGCAGTGTTCATTTGACTTTTGTGAATTGCAGTGCCTTTAAGTATAAAGTATGTGTATAAAAATATGGATTCTGCCTGCCTCAGAAAAAGAAGATACAAAAATATTCCATGAGTGAATCAAGTTCTGTACAAGTGGAGTCATAAAAGAATGACAAACAGCACAAGCAACACTGGTGCATTCACTCCTACTATACCTGATGGGGAGATGTGCCGCCAAGAAATGGAGGGCTCTGGCTTCCCAGTGGCCAAGCAAGTGAGGGTGACATTGGTTCCTTCATTGATGGTCATATCACTTGAGATATCATATATCTTCGGAGGAACTGAAATGGCAAAACATGCAGTTGTCAGAAGAAAACGTAGTGTGTTGAACTACACATCACTGACTTCATAATACCTTTCAATGAAGAAATAATGACAGTCGGGTACAGTGGCACACACCTGTAATCCCAGCGGCTTCCAAGGCTGAAACAGAAGGATTGTGAGTTCAAAGCCAGCCTCAGCAAACACGAGGCACTAAACAACTGAGACCCTGTCTCTAAATAAAATACAAAATTGGGCTGGGGATGTGGCTCAGTGGGCAAATTCCCCTGAGTTCAATCCCTGATACCCCACCCCCCAAAAAAATAAAATGGTTACAGAATGCCTGTAAAACCTCTGGTCCTCATCTAAAAGTGACTGCTCTAGAACCACAAGACTATAAGGGTTCCTTGTTTGTCAGCTGGCTTTATTTTTAGACATTTTAAATGCTTTGGAACTAATGAAATATTTAGTTGTAAGCACTTTAAAAATATTGTTTAAAGTAAATATTTATTGTGACTAAGTTGTGCCAAATGAGAATATAACTAGCCTATTCTATTCAATTATCTTCACTTCAGTGATAGTTTTCCTATTGAAACAGTTAAATAAAAAAGCGGAAATTTCAAGAAACTTAAAATAGCAAAACTATTTGGCCTACATGCTGATTTAAAAGCTGCATGAGGTAGGACATAGGGTGGGGCAAGATTTTAGGGTCATGAGCCATTTTCAGCTTCTATTTTCTCTCTGCAAGACAGTAGGTCTAAAATTTCTCAGAATTTATTTTCTAAGGAACACATCCTAAAGGGCTGTAAAAGGTGGGTTCAATGAGTCTTTATGTCAGATCTCTTCTCTTTAGGAGACTTCTTAGAACCTTCTTTATACCCTATGCATTGCAAAACTATAAGAATAATGAGGGAAATGCTATAGTATTCATTCTCTGATGTATTGAACTATTGAAACTTGTGTCCCAGAATTTGATCCTGGGATAAAATTTAGTGTTGCACAGAAAAAACTCTAAAAACTGCTAGGATTATATTTTCATATTCTGTGGCCAACTAAATGGTCTCATTCAATTCTCAACCTACATGGGTGTAGAGCCTGGTTCTCTGGTGGCTAGCTATGTTACCTGAGGCAAATTACTTCATCTATCTCAGTCTAAGTGTCTTCATCTAAAAACTGGAAACAATAGTACAAAGTCTGTATAGCTAGCTTTATTGGGGACTAAATAAGTTAGTATGTGTTGAAGGACTTCAAAAAGTTTCTGTGTTGAAGGACTTCAAAAAGAGTCAGTGTTAGCTGTTAGGATTAAATATCATAAAGCACACATATGGTGCTTGAATTTAATTTCAGTTCTGCCCTTTCCCAAGCCTTAGGATTCTTCTCTAACTTCAAAATTTTGGTGGTGCATATGACTGACTTGTGCCATGAGTCGCTTGGCTTACTTTATAAAAGTTACAGCATGTTTCAGGTCAAATCTAAGCAAATGCCAATTATACTCCTTGATAATTATTAAAAAAAATATATGATTTTTTTACCAGAACCATTTAAATTATCCCATTCTCTTTCTTTATGCAAGAACTACGTTTTCACGGCTGTTTTTAAAGCCAGTTATCAAAATGTGTTGTGAGTATAAATTAAATATCCATATTTCTATTGGTATCTTTTAATTTTTGTGGAATAAAATCAAGGATAAAAGTAAATCAAGGATTATATGATTACTTATATAAAGCATTTGATTGTATGTAACTGTTGATATGATTGAGAAAGACTTGTTTCTAAGTGACATATGATTGTAACTGTTTCTAAATGACATATTTTAATTGGCATTTAAAACATATTGTCGTCAAACTCTTTATTGAGCTCTTCTCAGGAAAATAATTTAAAAAACAAAGAAATCCCAAGGAAGTCTTTTTCAGCTTAACTGAAACTGAACTGTAATAAAGACATTCCAACATCCTAGAAAAAAAACATACAGAAAAATTTGCAAGATTTACTAATAAGTAGGAGAACTAATAGCTAATAATAAAAAAAACTAATGAACTAAAACTTTACTTAACTAATAACCTTATATCACTAAACAAAAATATCATTTGAATATTTGGATGTAGAGAGAAGTTTGCTATGGATGACTGCAAAATACATGTGAATATATAAATACATGTACACACACTCATACCTATATACACACACAAAATACTCATACTTACACACATACCAATGTTCACTATTTCAGAGAAGAAAAAAGTTATGTAGTTCTTCTTCTCTTTTTTAGAAGATAGTTCATCGAGCTCTTAGTCCAGTCTGACAACTTCATCTATATATTTCAACTATGTAATTCAAGGTTTAACAGAAGTATGTGTATTTAAGAGCATTGATGGTATGCCATCATAACATTCATTCTGTCCTCTAAAGGACACTATTTTTAAAATTCTATCTGATAATAAAATAGTTTGGTGGCATCTTTATGCATATACCCATATTTAAGATGCCAAAATTATGATAAGTTAATATTAAGCAATAATATTTTAGTAGATAAACAACCAAGTCCCTTAGCAATAAACTCCGATTTGACATTTCACTATGAGAAATTATGTGGTAGGGAAAGAGTGGTGAGTTCCAGGTGTGATATGTCATCACAGTAGTTGCAATCACCTCCCAGGGCCTCATAATTCAGGATATGCCACAGGGAAGAAACATCTGGAAACAGAGCATTGGTAAGAGAGAATCCTCTGGCAAGGCTCTTCTCCCCAGAATGCATCACCTGTTGGTAGCAGATGCTGTGCAGAGAGGGACAGTAAAATCTTTCTCCTGCACTTCTTATTCACTATGACTTGTGGAGGAAAAACAAATGTTGGTTTGCTGAATATTCAAAGTAATTGCATATTCAGTGATCAAGACTTCCAATTTTTACTGAGTACTATGGAAGGAATAATTCTGGGCCCAAAGGAAATGCAAATATTTAAAAGCATAATCCTTACCCTCAAGAAACTTGGAATCAAAAGAGAGAAAGAGATATGTAACTAATTAAGAGAAGACGAATATTTTCCACATTTTCCTTTTCTATCTTATATGAGTAATACATATCCATTAGATACACTTTGGGGTTCAAAACAGGTAATACTTGTTTAAGGCTGATTTCTTTGACAGTGAATCACATAGTATAGTCTGCACATCAGTGCAGAGCTATATGTAATAGAGAAAAATCATTAATAACTCAATGTAGAACACCCGAAATGAAGGTTCAGAGGATTGGTTAACTGGATTATGCTCACAATCGCCAGGTGTCACCAGAAAACCTTACTGGGGAAAGGTATGGAATGGTCCAAGACTCATCAGGCTGAAGCGAAATGAAGAGAGTAGAGATGCTTCTATCCTAGATGCAGCTTGGGGGAAAAATGTGACATCTCAGGCTTCTGAAGACTATTAGGTCTGGTAGCTATTCTTGTGTTGCAGTGTGTATTTAAATGATGATTGCACATAACTAGGTAGGATTCTCAAACTTATGAAATGTTTGTCTCACAATATGCAGATATTCCACTTAAACAGAAATATAGAAAATTTAGGAAAGATTTTTAAAATAACTCACTATTCTAGATGTATGTTTGTTTTCTATATCTCTTATTTCAAACTCCCTTGTATACTTTTCTAAATACTTAAAAACAATTTGTATAAAAGGAAGCAGATATGTTTGATAATTTTTAAAGCACTAACTACAGATTTTAATAAGTTTTTTGGATTGCTGTGTATAATACTTTGTATTATAACCTAGGGCCAACTAATGAATAAATAGATTATTCACATAAATGTGATTTTTTTATTATGTGGCAAATAGTTATTATAACATCATTACCATAACTGACATCATCATAACATAAATAAAAACAAGGACATGTAAAAGTTCTAGATTTCATATTAAATCTAGGCTTTGAAATTGCCAGATAAATGCTCTACCACTAAACCACATCCCCAGCCCTTTTTATTTTGAAACAGGATCTTGCTAATTTGTCTAGCTGATCTCAAACTTGTGATCTTCCTGCCTCAGCCTCCCAAGTTGCTGGCATTACAGACATGTACCATCAAACCTGGCTAGGTGAAATTTTCTTCAGAAGTTTCATATCCATTTAAATGAATCATTCTTGGATCCTCAAATTAATCTGTTTTGCCTATAATTGTTCTCTGGCCACAAACTCAATTGCTACTTAGTACCCAGTTGTCAACTCTTATTCACTTAAATCTGAAATGAGACAATGAGATATATTTAGATGTATCTACAGATTTTTACTTTTGGGGGAGAATTTAAACATCTTATTGGTTTCAATTTAATCAAAGCAGTATCAGAAAGGAAAAATTCTGGAACATACACCCAAAACAGGTACTAATGATTACCATGTTGCCCATCATCTGGGATTCTCCATACACACATTAATTGTAGTAAAATGAGCAACTGAATATGTGAGGGGGTGTAATTTGTTTGTTTGTTTATATTGGAGATTGAATAGAGACCTTCCACATGCTGGGTGAATCCTCTACTACTGAGCTGTATTCCCATCCTTTTTTTTTTTTTTGTCTTTTAATGATGCTTATTTTCTTTATTGTTGCTGGACCTTGTATGTGCTAAGCATGTGCTCCACAACTGTGCTGCAACCCAGCCTATATTTTCTGATCTACAGAAATATATTTTTTGTTTGTTTAATAAGCAGTCTCCACAGATGTAACTTTAATTTTTTACATGAACTCATCATGTAACCTGGAATATAACCATTAACAATATAAGAAGCCAACATTATGGCAAACTGATTTGCATATACCCCAAATCATATAAGTACAGGGTGTTTTATTATGTCAAAAGTCTGTACAGATTTTGTTTAGAAGTAGTAAATTAAAGAGTCTGTACCTACACCAATTATGAGGTTGGGTCACATATATATTGAATATCCTTGTAGGATGCACTTGATGGTTATTTCTATTGTAAATACAAGACACAAACTATTTGGATCTGGCAATTGCACTGTTTTACAGAAAT